TTCAACCAAATCATCTGAAAAGTTGTGGAAAGGAACATAATTCATAATGAAGCATTAATTTTAGCAGTGATTCCTCAGTTGTCTTCAGTGTTCTGTAAGATATTACTAGATTCTTACTTAATAAAATGCTCATGGGCAGATCAGCATGGGAATTGTGTGTTATAGCTCTGTTTTAGAGAAACACAATACAAACTAACATTAAAGACTGTGAAAAGACTTGTGCTTAAAGTTGACATTAAGTTAACAAAACTGTTGACATTGGAACTTGTAGACTCCGCAGAAAAAATGTAAGAAATGTAACCTATGTGCCTCTTTATGTAATATGTATATTCCTAGGAATGTAAATTATGTAAATTAAAACTTTGGGAATCATTCATATTTTGAAAACAAAATATTATAATTTAAAGAAAATTTTATACATTAGTTTATTCATTACTATAAATCTATGTTAATACAGCAGGTTTATCTAAATAAAGTTATGTCAGTGTCTATAAAATTTATAACTCAATTTTATTATTCTTGATAATTGAAAGGAAAGGCTAAAGCGATATCTTTATCACCAAGAAATTTTTATGCTTTTTATAAAACAATGAAACCACGTTGTGGAGATTGACTCACACGGAACTGAGATGTTATCTGTATTCTTTCCCTTGCCTATGTTTTGTTTTTGTTGTTGCTGTCATTTTTAAACACCATTTTGTTCCCCATTTGAAACTACAAATGAATTAGATAAAATCTTTAAGTAGTGAGAAGTCAAATTGCTTTTTCACTTCCTGCTCAATTTCATCTTGTCCTAATGCCGCCCTTCGTTAGAAAAGCAGAATTAAGTATTTTGATTAGATATGTTGCACAAGGACAGAGACAGCTCTGAAAATGTAAAGGGTGTGGTTTTGAGAGTGAGACTGCCCTGAATAGGAAATTATGGGAAGCAGCTACTATGTGACAGACACAATGATAGATGCCATTTACACATTATCTGACTTGATTTTCACAACCCTCCTACCTAAGAAGGCAAAGACTTGATACTCAGGTTAAATGACTAGCCTGGATCCCATATTTCATGTAGGAAGTCAAGAGAAGCAACTGTGACCCTACGCTTCAGTCCACAGGGGTCCTGAGCTGTAAAGAGACCTAGGTCAGAAAGGACAGATGACTGTAGAATATGGCAAGAGGTCTATAGATATAGGAGTTCTAAATCCAATACCCTTTTTCAAGGATTACAATCAGGAAGAAATTACTTTACTTTGCATGCTATGAAATCTAAACTTACTTTACCAGAGATGCGCATTGTTACATGTGGTATTTAGATTCCAAATACATTATTGATTGGATAAACTTCATGAACTTGTCTGAAAAACTAATCATCATTTATGATTCTATTTTTTTTAGAAAGTGTATCCTAACTTAAAAATAACTAGCTTACAGATATTTAGAACATAAGCCATTCATAAATCTGGGATTGCTGTATAAAGAAATTTGCTTTCAAACTTTAAATTTGTAAATCATAAAGTTGATTTCAGATGTATTACTCAGATGCCTGCTTTTATAGAATTTTTATTTCATTTCCTGCCTATTTTAGGAAAGGAGATTCTCAAATATTTATTTATGCATGTGTTTTAGAATCATCGCCTGTATTGTATTTATGCATTTATTTCTCCCAGGTCAAACTTGTTATTTCTGAAAGATAGCAGCTTTTCCAAGATACTAATAAAAAAGATTTGAATAGTTCCAGACAATTTGTTTTGCTCTATTCTATAGTAGAATGATGAGCAAGCAGGTTGTTAAAAACTTTTTTGTTTTACTTTGTATACTTCATTTTGCCTGGTCTTTTTCATATAACTGATGTACCAAACCTTGGCATGGCATCTATATATTATATAATTGTATTTTTACCTAAAAATGTTTTATTTTCCAGAGTTATTAAGACTTTTTGTTCAGTAATAGTAACAGCCAGTGGTTAGCCATTTTATAGGCACTACCAACAGGGATGCAGTAAAAACTTTGAAAATCATTTTTGTTTTTTTGTTTGGTTTAGTGTGGGCAAAGGGCCGTATGTTGTTTTTATTTATACTCTAATACATGAAATTATGCAATACTTTCCTTCCATGCAGATGTGAAGGCTCTATTTTTTTTTTTTTAGTTATTTATGATAGTCACACACAGAGAGAGAGAGAGAGAGAGAGAGAGGCAGAGACACAGGTAGAGGGAGAAGCAGGCTCCATGCACCAGGAGCCTGACATGGGATTCGATCCCGGGTCTCCAGGATCGCGCCCTGGGCCACAGGCAGGCACCAAACCGCTGCGCCACCCAGGGATCCCTGAAGGCTCTATTCTTACCTACCCACTATATTAAAGAAATATCTTAATGTTTTTTGAAAGAACTTTTTTCAAACAATTGAAAACTTACAGAAAAGTTATGTTAAATGTCAAGATCTTTTTCCCCCAGAATACATGAGAACAAGTTGTTTACATGATTCTCCATTACCTCCAAATATATTAATATGTATTTCCTACTAACAGAACATTGGCTACATCACTACTGCTATCCAAGTCAGGAATTAATACATTACTACTATTTAATCATCAGACTATTAAAATAATATTGTTCATTGTCCCAGTAATGTCTTTCATGACAAAAGGATCCAGTGTAGAATCATGCATTGCATTTAATTATCACACTTTCAGTTTCTTTTAAATGGGACCAGTTTTTCTGTCCTTCTTTGGCATTTATAACCTTGACATTTTTATTTTATTTATTTATTTATTAAGATTTATTTATTCGTTCATGAGAGACACACAGAGAGAGGCAGAGCATAGGCAGAGGGAGAAGCAGTCTCCCCTTGGGAAGCCTAACACAGGACTCGATCCCATGGCCTGAGTCAAAGGCAGATGCTCCACCACTGAGCCACCCAAGTTTGCCAGCCTTGACATTTTTAAACATCATGGTCAATTATTTTGCAGAAGATCCCTCAATTTGGGTTTGTCTGATGTTTTCTTGGGATAAGATTAAAGATGTGCATCTTTGGCAGAGAATTCTCCTTGCATTCTATCAAGTGGCATATAATTTTGATTCATCCCATTACTAGTGATTTTCACTTTGATCATTTGATTACTGTGGTGTCTGCCTACTTTCTCTACTATAAACTTGTTCCTTTGTTTCCCCTTTGTAATTAATACATATTTTGTGTGGAGAAGGGTAGTGTCTTGAAACTATGTAAGTTTATTTCTTATTGGTCTTTCAACTTATTGATTTATTTATATCAATATGGACTCATGTTTTCCTAATTTATTCAATGCTTCAAAATCTGTTAATATCATTGCTTATTTTAAGGTTCATGTTGTTCCCAGTTTGGCCTATGTGAAAACATTCAAGATGGGTTCTCTTGTCTTTTTGACAATGTTCTCATCATTCATCAAGTAGTTCCTTGCTTTATGTCATAACAAGATATTTCAGACTTATCAGGTACTTTGCTTGCCCCAGCCTTGGAGCCAGTCATTTCTCCAAGGAATGCTGGTTATTTTTAATGGTAATAATATTTAGAAGATATGATCTGGGCTCTAGGTACACTCACTGCTGTTAGTGGGATATAATCAGGGTGTTGTTTTCCCTGAGCCCTCTCAGTGGACACAGCTGCACATAGGCACATGTGTTGTCTTGCATTTCTTAATCTCTATAGGCTGGAAACCATGAGTCCACACCGGTGCACCCAGTTCCAATCCCAACAGTGCAGATTTCATTCTACACATTTGTAACTCCTTTTATCTGACAGAGAGAAAGCTGTCTTCTATTACTTTTAACACATATTCTTTGATCTCTCTTCCTAAAAGCAACCATTCTCCCCATATGGATGCTCTCTTCTCTCTGATGGATCTCTGACTCCTATTTCTAGGCTGTCTCTTGCCCCATGTGGATGCTCCTTACCTTGCTGAGGCTCACACGGCCCACATAGGCCTGCTCTCCTCAGGCTTTAAGTTCCTATGCCTGGCTGCCCTTTCCCTTACCCCATGTGGACACTCTCCTCAGCCTGCTGTGCTCTGACACCCCATGCCTAGTGCCTGTTCTCAGATGCCCTTTTAACTGGGGTCTGATACATTGTTCTGGGACACTGAATATATGGGTTATGTCTCACTGCTCTTGGACTCTGACTTCCATGGCAGAGTCACCTGCCAAATGTGTATACTGTCCTTACTCTTTGGGTTCTGATAACTTACATTGGGTAGCCACACCATGTAGACAGTCTCCTCACTCTGCTTGGACCTCGACTCCCTGAACCATGCCACCCTCTGAGGAGAAATTCCCCCCTGGGCTCAGCTCCATGTCTTCCATCTTCCTCAGCCCATTCAGGCTCTGACACCTGGTGCCTGGCAGCTGTCCTCCTCGCCCTCCTCATCCTACTGGCTGTGGCACCTTGCTCTGGCACACCACAGCTCCTCCCATAAGCCCTGCAACAGAAGCCCATGTTGGTGGGCTCTACCCAGTGTTCAGTAATGGAAGGGGAAGAAGAGCCAAAAGGCTTAAGAAAATGCTTTCCTAAGTATTTTCATGAAAATACTTTCATAAACTTGTGTTTTGAAATATTTCAGAGAATCACTTTGCTAGCTATAATATTGAAAATCAGAGCAAAAAGTAGAATTTGACATTCAAGAACCATTTGTAGATATTTTTTAAATTAGATGAGTTTACTTATATGCCCTGAACTACCTCCATTGATTAAATAATTTAAGATCAAATAAGAGACTAGAAGTTCCGTGTCTATTCTAGGTGAGAGCATTTCATAAACTATCAGTTTAATGTCATCTTATCCTGGCCTCCTTTCTCATATTTGATGTCATTAACTATGGTGCTGGTATTTGAGTAGGATACACCTTTACATATATTCTTACGTAAAGCAAAAAAAAAAAATAAAATAATAATGCAAAAGAAAAAAACATAAAAAATGTATAATGACCTTAAATAAACATGTTTGTAACTTGATTTTTTTTTCTATCTTGTTTAAATAGAGGAGTCTTCATTTTGGCTTCCCTTATATGGCAACATGTGCTGCCGACTAGTCGCCCAGCCAGCTTGTATGGCTGAGGATGCATTTGCAGGATTTCTTAATCAGCAGGTTGGAGGACTTTAAATATCCTACAATTATAGCTGCAATCTAGATCTTGATATACTGGCATTGTTTAGCTTTCTGATAATAAGAAGTATTTTTAAAAATCTTCTTTTAAATGACAGTTTTCTCCATGTTAAACATAGAATGGGGGTGAGAAGGCCGAAAGGGGAGGGGTCTTGATGGCTAAAGAGTTACCTCTCCAGGTGCCTCTGCTGAATAATAGCAGTGACAGGATAATGAGCTGCAGAGGACTCCTGTGAAAGCAGATGAGGACTGTTCCCCTCCTTTCATAGAAGGGCCTTTCTGGCAGACGGCTTTTGGCATAGTCTAAGCCTTTGGGCTTCCAAAGCTGCCTCTGTGCCACCTACTCCTGATTTATTTATAACCATAGTTATTTATATTCAGTAAATAATTAATTATGGGCTTCAATGAATCAATAACTTTTTTTAAAAGATTCCATTAAGAGGAAGGAAAATTTGCATTCTTACAAGGTAGTCAACATTTTCCAATGTTCTGAGAACAGTAAAGGCAAATTATATTTTGAGTATTGAGTTATTTTTATAATTTTTTTGAGTCATTAGATGGATTGCTGTGGAATTTTAAGTACTAATTTTGAATAGACTAGCTTTTCTAAAACTGCATTGATTTATGATTTTATGTGTGTAAAAGTTATGTGGTAATCGTTACCTCCATTTTGCTTAATGCTTTTGAGAATTCCAAACCTTTCTTCTGTGATATAACTTACTCTGATTTTGAACTATTGACTTATTGCACATTAAATTACTGGGTAACTCTATCATGTTTAAAATTTTTTTAAACTAATATAACTTTGATAATTGAAGTGTTTTGTTGAATTTAAAGATGATAAATAATGATTAAGGTTGATGGTTTCTTGATTTTTTTCAGCAAATGGCAGAAAGCCTGATTAGTTGGAGAAGGTTGTATTGTGTTTTAAGAGGGGGTAAGCTCTATTGTTTTTACACTCCAGAAGAAATTGAAGCTAAAGTGGAACCAGCTTTGGTAGTGTCCATTAACAAGGTAAACAAAATGCTATTCTGAAGTACAGATACAACATTTTATAAAGTTTGTTCTTTTCTATACATTTCACATTGTTACCATCTTATGGACAGAAGGGAAAGACTGTGGAAAATAGGTTAGCTCAGGGGCGCTTGGGTGACTCAGTCCATTAAGCATCTGCCTTCAACTCAGGTCATGATCCCAACGTCCTGGGATTGGGGCCCACAATGGGCTCCCTGCTCAGCTCAGTGGAGTCTGCTTCTCCCTCTCCTCCCTGCTTTGCTCTCTCTCTTGCTATTTCTCTTTCTCTCTCTCAAATAAATAAAATCTTAAATAAAAATTAAAAGTTTAAAAACTAAGTTCATAATGATAAATTAATCTTCTTTTTTCTTCCATTACAGAATTTATCTGGTAAAGGAAATATGGTATATTTCCATAGTAATTGGAAATTTATACCAGTAAATAGGTTTGAAAGCAGAGAATGTAACTCCACATTTAACATATTTAAATTTTTTGTGAATGTATTTAACTAAGATATTATATAAACATAAATTGCTAGCTCATGTTACATTGATGCTTTTTGTAGTTAATATTCAAATAAACCCATAAAAAGACAATCCTGAGAATACTCCCTGATTTCTTATGGGACTGTTGGACAGTTGTCCAATCTTGGGTCAGAATAGGAAAGCCTGATCAGCCTCCACCAAGCACACATACACACACAAGCACATGCACACACACATACACCCACACACATGCATACACACTCATGCACTTATCATCTTAAATTTATCTTTGTATGTTATCCAAGCCTAGTGTTTATTAGTGGATTCCCCCTCTTTCTGGCATTCCTACTCTAGAGTACTCTCATGGCATTTCTAGAGCAGAATATCATATTTCCTGTCCATAGAATGTACTTAATTGTTTCTAGTTGTTTTACTTTGCTTGCTTTTGGAGTGGTTGAATTGAAGTCTGTGGTAAAGTATGAGCCATCACATCTGTTAACTGTACATGTTCTACTTAACTTTAAGTTATCTTTTGAAAAAAAGTTGTATGTCCTGGAAAACAGGTGGATGCTGGTTTGCTTATCTATAAGGACTTAAGTTAATTTCTCTGATCTTTTCCAATAACATTTGGTCTGTTTCTATCCTGCTTTTAGAAATTATACTGCTTTTTCTTAAAGGAAATCCTTCAATGAGACCTTCTAAATTAAGTCCACTTAATTTATCCATTTTGTGTGTTAGAAAAATTAGTGTTGCTCTTAAACAATAAACCTCAGTATTGTATAACATGGTGAATTTATTTGGGTTTAGATAATTAGATTTATGAAAGTATGTTGTTTATTGGAAAATTGATATATTTTTTCATTACTTGCAATGTTTTGTTTATGCAGTCTCCACTTTTCCCCATCCTAGCTTTTTGAAAGTTTAGATGGGCAGAAAAATGGAAAGAATAGAATAATGAATACCTGTATACTCTTCACCTGGATTCTTTAGCTCTTGTTAATATTTTCTTATATTTGCTTTCTCTTTGCATAGTTTGAGAATTTTTTCAGAACCATTTGAAAGTAAATGGCAAACAGCATAACATTTCTTCCCTAAAATATTGCATCATGTTTCTCCTAAAAAATAGGACATTTCCTTCTTAACCATAATATTATCACATTCAAGAAACTATTGTTGATAAAAATAATATCTAATATAGAGAGCAAATCATCCCAGTTGTCCCTAAAATGTTCTCCCTGATTTTTATATTTTGTTTGATCCAAGATCCCCATCAGGGATCACAAATTGCAACTAGTCACCATGTCCTTTGATTGTTTTCTTTTTACCTAAATTGGACCCATCACTCACTACTTTTTCTTTTTTTATCTTTTATTATATTGACATTTTGGAAAAATCCATGCCAGTCCCCACTTCTGTTTTTGACTAATTGTTTCACTAGATTCAGGTAAATGTTTTTGACAAGAGTTCTGCATAGAGGATTTTGTGTAACCTAATTTTCACTAGGTACCTAGGTAGTAAAAATGGAATTCTACCAATTTTTCTCTTATGTGTTGTACAATGGAATATGAATAGTCATAAAAGAAATTAAAATATAATCTAGACAAATGTTATTTTAAAATTTACTTGTTTTATTTGAAAACAGTTTTCAAGGTATTCATTTTTACCATATCAAGTCCTTTATGGCAGACAGAGCGAGTAAGTCAGCCCTGTTTTATAGGTATGTTATTTCTGTTTTATAAGTGAAGAAACAGACTCACAGATCAGATAGAACTTGTCTAGCTAGTAAGTAAAATTATATGGCTCTCTGTTTTTCTATTTCCTCACAGACATACTGCTAGACTAGATTTGGAAGACAAAATTAGACTTTTTCCTATCTCCATACCCACTCTGAATAAGTTTTCAAAGAAGTAGCTCTGAAATAGGGTTCTGAGCCTGAAGCCACACTTTCTACCTCCAGGCAGTGGCTTAGACATGTGTTGCATCTTTACCATTTAATGTAAGAGGGCAGTTATAGTGGAGCACCTCTGTTACTGTAACCAGGGTATCTGTATTTCTTGTCTGGTGACAAGGGTGTAATTCCAGAGAAGTGGTTAGTGTTTACATGGCCCTGCTGAATTGATCTTTTTTCCAATTGACTCACTTTTCCTTGTGGTGATAAAAGCTAGTGGCTTGGTGACTGATGCGATTCTGTAGTCAATCAGCTCCATTATTACAGTGACTGAAATCACCATACTTAGAAATCCCACTGGTGGTTTCACAGTTGACCATTACAGATTCACAGGAAAATGATGAATCTAGTGATACGTAGAGACTCGACCTTCGACTTGGGGATAGTGTGGGCTCTGTTTGACCCTGAGGACTGATGACATAAACTGTCAGTGTGCCTGACTTTTGTCTCAAGTACAAAAGAGAATTTTAAGGTTAAGCCAGAAGTAAGGGTTAGGTTGAGAAGATTAATGTAATTTAGGTGCCAGTCTCAATGACTGAGCTGATAACAAAGTGTTGTGATGTCACTGTCTTCATTTTCTGCAATGCTAATCCCTGCTGCCTCTCTGTAGCAGCTTTCCTATTGGCAGTTCCTACTTCTCCCTTGGGTTTCCCTTGAACCTTTCATTCACATGAAAACTTCCCTTCAGCAGTAAACAGCCTGGTTTCTTTATTTAAATAGGACTACGTCAGTCAAGAAGTCTATTTGTTATTTCTGAAAGCCTGGCTCCTGTGTCCTAATGTCTTCTATTAAAGTAATTTTTATCTATTTTCTCTCAACTCAGACAACGATTCATATTTATGGAGAAGTGACATTTGCATGCCACCTGCATTTAGCAGTTAACTGTTGCTGTCCAGTTGGCTTTATCTCTATTCTTCGTGGGGGGAGTTAAAGCTCTTTGTATTTAGTTTTTAATTTGCTTTGTGATGGTATAACTTACATAAAATACAGTTCACCAACTGTAAGTGTTCAATTTGATAATTTTGACAAATAAGATTGTGTAATCATTACTACAGTCATTATTGGATTATAGGGTTTTTTTAAGCTTTTCTGTAAGAACAAATTTCAATTATACAGCAGTGTTATCAACTGTAGTCATCTCCAGACCTTATTTATCCTATAGTTGTGAGTCTGTAAAGTCTCTTATCTATATATTTTGCTGACCTGTTTGAACATATGTCTCTAACAGTGGCACTTTATCCCCGAATACTTCAACATGCAACTCTTAAAAAATAGGAGCATCTAAAACAAAAGTGTGTGTGTGTTTATGTGTATGAGTAAATGAAATTACAATACCATTATCATGTCTAACCAAATGAACAAAATAATTCTCTCATATCATTTAATAGTCCAGTCCATATTCGCATTTCCCCATTTTCCCTAAAATGTCCTTTTAGCTTTTGCTTTCAATCTAGGAATGTTCAAGGATTATGCATTCTTCTAAACTTTAAATTAGGTCTAGAGGCTTGATTGGATTCATTCTAAACATTATTTATAAGAATGTTTCATGCATAATGACAGATACCTTTATAGGGCATTCTGTTTAGAAGCACATGATGTCAGGTTGCCTCATTATTGGCAATGTCATGTTTAATGACTTGGTTAAGATGGTGACCACTAGCTCCCTCCAACATAAAGGTAAGTTTTCTTCTTTACTGTTAGCAAGTAGTCAATGAGGTGATAGTTTGACACTGTGTGAATATCCTTGTTGTCCAGTAGTCTTTCACATAATGGTTTTAGTGACCTGATTGCCCTTGTCTGAATTGGTTATTACACTGGAGATTGCATATGTGGTTCTCATAATGTCCTTCATTCTACTTGTATTAGCTGGCATTCCTTTGTAAAGAAAGACTTTTTCTCATCAAGTAGGAATGAATGAATCCCAGTCCCTCCTGAAAAGATAGGATGAAACATTAGTGTTTTAATTACCAGTTTTCAGAGTGAGAAGTTGGTATTACTTACTGGTCTTGTATTGATATTGGCAGTATGTATTGGAGCAGTATTACTCCCTCCAGAGGAAGTAAATGAGTGTTGTGTCTGTTGTGTTCCCCTGATATTAATGATAAACTCATAGATTTTTATTTATTCAGTGTTTTAAATTACTTGATTTTTAAATATAAGTTAGGTGCTTTAATTATTTGGCTTATTATGGAAATTTCCAAGGGATACATGCTATTAGTATATTCTTAAGTAAACAAGATCTTTAATAAATGCCAGCTCAGTATTTTCTGATATGTAGGGCAGATAAGCACCAAATAAAAATTTTAAAAATAGAGCTTTTGTTTCGGTTTTTAGTATACTTTCAATGCTAGGTCTCTAAGATCTTTTAATGCATAATAAAGTTACATATTAAATACAAATCAGAGTTCTTTTCTTTTTGTTGTCTTCTCTCATGATTTAGAAGATAATTTTGTTTAATGCCACTTTAAAAATTATGTAGAAACATAAATTTTGCATTTGCTGAGGTATATAAATAATAGGTCTGTTATTTTGATCACAGGATCTATTCTCTAACTATAATTTTTGTT